GCGGGAGTACAGGGTATCCACAATTTAAACACTATCGCTCTTTTGTTGGCACCATAATTTTCTCCATGGAGTTGCATCATCTCTGATTGCCACTCAATTTTCGAGTTAATACTAATTGTGTTTTACAGTTTTTCCCATTTATCAGCGCGTATATTATTTATTGTCAGGTAAAATATGTGGCTTAAGTCATCTAACTCCTCCCTCTTCAAAAAAGAAGAAAAATATTTTCTCAGAGAAACTACATGAACAGAATTATGTTTCTGTTTATTAAGTATTCAGACATATAATTAGAATTATTAATAAATCTTTTAAATTTGGATGAAAAATTTCATTTAAGGTGAAACAACTAAAATATTAACCGCTTTAGTTTAATATTCTTTGTTTTGAAGCTGATAAATTTTCATAGAACATGCATAGTTTCAGCAATTCGCAAACGTTCGTTTTATAAATAAAAGCGAACGAAATATCTTATATTTAACATTTTAGGTACTGTGTAATTAGTTACGACAATTTTATGACAATTAAAAATTGCCCAAATTTATAAAGTACAATGCCAAAATTTGGATAGAAAAAAGTCGAGGAGCTGCAATAAGCGTCACAATAGATAAAAATAATTTGAATTAAAAATTTCAAACATCCTTTTCTTGTGAACTTTGAAAAGTCAGTTATCTCACAGCATATTTCAAAACAGAACTTTGGCGTTTGATTAATGCATCATTTATAATCGAGTTTTAATTATTGGTTAAATGTGTATATATATATACGTATATACATTTGCTAACTTTAATAACTAACAACTTTTTCCCTTATCAACTATGGGGAATGTATATACGCAATTAACATACACTATTTAATTAATTATATTTAGCAATAATAATTAAGCTGCGAGCATAAATGTTTTAATAACATCCCTTTTCACTAAATAGTAATGTATTATAAATGAAATAATTAATATTCAAATTTTTTACAATATTACAACACAATTTTAAATTAAAAACATAACATTTGCCACATAATTTTAATGTACAGACTAAAAATAGTTTAGTTTTCTTCTATTCGATATCCAAAGAGAGGGAACGATCAAAGTAAACCCCTTGACACTAAGCTCGATAACAACAGAAGAAAAGCCAAATTTTATTTAATGCAAGTGAATTTTAATTTTCTTTAATAGTGAGAACATTTGAAAACTTTAAAAAAATATCTACCAAAAAACCAGTTTCATTCAGATATAGAACGGTCTTCATATTTTAAAATATTTCTTTAAGGTGGCAGTCAACCTTATCGATTTTAATGCTAAAAGTAGAAGTGGAGCCTTAACGCCAGCTGACTGAGTAGTTTTGCCGGGATTCACTACGCTCATTCAAATTGTTCTCTACTCACAATCCAGTTGGTATAGAGATCAATAATCTAAACATGTGAATTTGGAATAAAGTTACCCTCTTGCAAGCACGAACTTAGTTTTTTTCCCCTAACGCTCATTATTGAAAATAATAATTAGGCACAATTTTGGCTAGAAACAAGTGACAAGGAGAGGACCAAGAAGTCCTCCATTAGTGAATCTCCCAAACATTAGAATTGAAATGTAGGGTTTATGGTACAAAGTCCACTTCCAAACATTAGAGAGATTTTGCATTTGGTTTCTTTTACATTAACTTTACCCTTAGTGATAGTACGATTGGTACGATAGTACGAAAATTTTCACACATGCACTTTGAAGCTCAGATAGTGTTATCGCTAAAGTAAAGGGAAACTGTAACTAGTAACACAACAGATTCAGAAATTCTCCGAGGGGGGGGATTATTATTTCTAAAGTAAAAAATTCTAATTATTATACAGTTCCAGCAAGAAACCCGATTTCCTCTTTTAAATTGTTTATAAAAAAATAATAAAACAAATTTGAAAGATTTTTTTAGTGTCTTTTACAATTTAACTTATTTTTATAATATTCAATCTTCCAACTTCCTCTCCCAAATAATAAAATAAGTAAAAACAATTCTATTTAAAAGAGGGTGCGGGGAAGGTCAAGAAGCGTTTCTACAGTAAATCTGCCAATATTTCTTGTTAGAACTTCGAGAACTATCCGAATCAGCCTACTTTTACTCGAAATTAATACTAAATATTTTATTATTTGAAAGAAAGAAAATGAGGTTATAAGCTTATATAAAACATCATCCTACCCTGGCCAAGCACCTAGCCCCATTTTTAAGGCACTATCTTTCAACGGCCATGCCACTTAATTTTGACCCTGAGCAGACGAGTTGGATAGCGCCTGAAATGGCACTCCTTTATCCAAACTTCCGCACCTCTTTTCAGAGAGGGCTTACAGCAACGACAGATTTAACTTGCACCTTGCTCTGTCCTAGAATATTCTAGTTCTTTAGTCGGCTTCCAAGATCGAACTCACTATCCCAGTTCTCCAACCAGCAGTGTAAACGACTCCTTAACTGAATGCGTCACCAGAGTGTTAAACTTGGTTATCTGGAAAATTAGTCAAAAATGGTGTAAAAAATTCGAAAAATATCAAAGACTTTATTTTTTACAATCTGTGGGAGCAAATCCCTCCGAACTCCTTACTTACTACAACTGCTCACATGGAACTTTTCATCCCTCCTATCTCCCAGAAACAATTTAATGGTTAAAATAATAATTTTCTTTCTCTCAAGCTCTGGCAAGAAAGTTTGGAAAGTTCACTGTATAAGGGCTTCCTGATATCTCCCACTCACTTGCTTTTAGCCAGAAGAGCTGCTAAATATTTTAAATGCAGTTTTGAGGATGAAAAAAGCAGGTAGAAGCTGGAAAATGCGGGGGGGGGGGGGGTTTAAACAATACAAAAAGA